AGTGCCATAATTGGCAAAAACTCTGTTTTGACTTTTGGTTCCTTTCATCCTTTAAAAATCTACAGATCTAATAGTTACACCACTGATATTAGACAATAAGTTCTGACTCAGTGTCAGTGATGAGCTTTTATTCATTCACTCATTCACTACATTTCTATTGAGTATATATTATAATGCAGGTATTTGTACAGATCCTAATATAAAAGCCTGTCCCACAAACTCCTCACATATGCCTTTTTTTGCAGCTAAGTGTTATTCAATGTTCTAGATAATCTTTTCTTTAAAAATTAATATGTGCAGTAGGCTTGATGATATATTTACAAGGAAGCAGATCATAAGTAGCAGCAGTCGGTGACTTACTCTGTGTGTGTTTGCATATGTATAAAACTCATTTAATAAAGCAGCAATGAAAAGTGAGAGCAATTCAAAATCAGTATTATGTTATCCATCCTTAATATCATCTGTTCCTGGACTGTTGATACACTATTACCTCATTGTTACAGATCCTCTCTCAGTTAATTTTTTTACCATCACCAGCCATATTTTACAGATAAAGAAACTGTGAATTTGAGAGCCAGTAACATGCTCCAGCAAGCACACATTTTGTAATTAGCAGCCAGTGACACTGTGATCTATATTCCTCTCTGGGTAGTTTGGAAAGTTTGTCTGCACCATGAGCTCCTTCAGGGCAAAGACTGTTTAACTGCTGTGATACTAAATTTCACATAGTAGGGGCTCAGAAACACTAGTTAAAATGTTGAAGTCCTCGTTAAAAGCTTTATTTTATTATTTCTCATCATGTCTCATTATTTCCCCAAATTAAAACTATGAGTGGGAGTGGGTGTTGAATGTGTTTAAACTGGGTTTCCGTTAGAAGGAAAAAAATCAAAGACACCCAATGGTGACAAATTATTCTTATAATTTTACTTCAATATGCACAAATATGAAACTAGGTATAAAAAATCTCTATGCTTAAAGGTATGCCTTTCTGGCTGTACAACTAACAATTTATAAAGGTATGCAAATAAAACTACAACATTGAAATTAAGAAGATTCAGTGAAACTTCAGATTATGCTTTTTGTCTTAAACATAATCACTTCTGACTGAGAATACACTTGCTACCTCTTCTCTGTATGCTGGGATGCAAGTTCTCTCTCGAGTGCCATGCCCTCATTCCCTGATATGTGTGGGCCATCTCAGGTCTGGACCACTCTTCTTTCTGGAACAGTTGGCACACTTTAGTTCTCTGGGTGATTCATAAATAAATTTCCTTTCAGGTAGTGAAAGGCATTACTTAAATACTGCCTGTCCTTTTTTATTGATTTGTGAAAAGGAAAGTGATACCTTACTCTGAAGTAGTTATTCTGGTTTCATGAAGTACCATTGAAGGTCGCACTAATTTGAATAACTGAGCGTGCTGAAGTTTCCTTCTATTCAAATATTTTTCATTTCCCTGTCATTACTTTAAAAGGAAATTATAGTGTTTGAATCTGATGAAATCAGTCAATGGGACTACATGCGTGGACATGGGACAACTGTCTTTTCTATGCTTGGACAGACCAGTCAGCAGGAATCACACTCAGCATGATTCAAAACACGTACAATTGTGCACACTGTGTGCCATGATGAGCTATAAAGAGATGGAGAGAATCCTGAAAATGCCTCCAATATTTGTCTTTGTTTTCCTTCTTTAAACTTTATTTTTACTGTTGACATTATTACAGATTTTCCTCTTCTTTCCCCTTGGCCAACCTCCACCCAGCCCACACCCTCTTCCCTCTGGCCATCACCACACTGTTGTATTTCACTTAGATGTAAACACAAGAGCAAATGCACATAAGTAACACTGAGTGGAATGACACAAACATACCATATATCTAATCAGTACCTATTTAGTATCTAATGTAAGTCCTACTTTGTGCTGAATGAGTGCAACTGGCAGTGACTTTTATCTCATGGGACCAAGACTCTGTTTCAGTCCCTTTGTTCACTTACAATATATATATATATGTAATATAAAATGAGTTCCAGATAAGTTGATAATAAGAATGTGCTGTGATATATTTACTTTGAACTATTCACATATATTCAATAATACTTTATTTAAAATCTTTCCTTCTGCTGTGAAAGACAAATACCATATGATCTCACCTTTAACAGGAACCTAAATAACAAAACAAAGAAACAAGCAAAATGTAACCAAAGACACTGAAATAGAGGTCAGGCTGACAGTGCCCACAGAAGAAAGTAGAGGGAATTTCAGGGGACAGTGGGAAGGGTTCACGGGAACAAACTTAAAGGACACAAGGTCATAAACTAAGGGGAGGGTGGTAATGGGAGGGAAGTGGGGAGGGTGGAAGGGGGGACTGGATTGGGAGTAAAAAGGAGAAAACTGTCTTTGAACAATGATTAAAATAAAATTAAAAAATAAATAAAAAAAATCTTTCCTTCTGTTGTCACAAATGAAGAAGGTGCTACAGAAGTGTTCATACGTTCTCCTTCATAATAATTATGTTTGGGGAAAATATATTTGCTGCAATTATGTAAATTAGCCTACAGATTTGGAATGTTGTGGTTGAAGCTGTAGACAATTTGTTTCACTAAAATCAAGTGTAAATATTTCCAACCAAGTTAGGCAAAAAGTATAATCCTTATAAAATTTTCTATACCTCATAGTCATATTGACCTCGAGTGCTAATACAATAACTTTTACATGTAATCATTTTTGTTCATGATTGGCCATGAGCAATTTCTTTCCCATTATTTATTTAACTTTGCTTTCCTACTCTCAAATGTTTATATGGTGATTTTCTCATTCATAAAAACATAATAACCTCAACTAGCCAATGATAAAACTCAGTAAAAAACACCACTTACAAAGGTAGATTTTGCATAGTGTTTTCTGTGTGCTATTCACAGAATTACCTTCCTTCTGGGATTTTCACTCTTCAGTTTTTGCTCATACTTGAAAAATAAACAATGTCCTTTAGATTTATTTCCTTGAAGAGTTTTGCCATTTTCCCAAAAACAAGCAAAGAAACAAACAAAACCCCCTCAGTATTTAAGGTCAGTTAAACATATTTAGGCAATTTCAAATTCCTACGAAATATCCGATTATTTGGTAGCTGTCTGCCAAAATGATTTTATACTTAATTTATTTTAATGTAAATCAATAGGTTGGGACATATGCTTTAGGTAGAATATAAACATTTTGCTTCTGCTTCTGTGGATGGAGTTCTCAAGTTCTGGTTTCTTACCTGACAAACACTCAAGAGGAAAGACTCATTGATCTGCCGAGTACTGTCAGCTGCATGACTTGATTCTCCTTTAGTAATGTTACCCTTTGAGTTTGTCTAGCCAGAAAAGTGCTGATTTCTTCCAAACCACTGGCAGTGATGCAAATTTATACTGTGTGTGTGTATGTATGTATGCATGCCGCTATGTATGTGCAGGTGTTTACCAACAACAACAACAACAACAACAACAAGAGGGACTGAGTGCAAAAACAAAACCTAGGATTCTTTTAAGTATGTGATTCAAACAACTTATAGAGTAATTGGTGGAGTTGGTGAGGCCAAAGGCAGTCCAGTTGAGGGAAGAGGCTGTCAAATGCCTCTACCTAATTCAGTGTCTGACCGAACAGCCACATCCTCCTGCAAGATTCAGGGAATACCACCTCACTCCATACAGCATCCAGGGACATACCCCCCTTCACCCAGGGTGCAGGGAATACTTCTTCTCTACATTTTCCTCAAGGGAATACTCCTGCCTCCATTTAAGGCCCAGGAAATACTTCTCCCCTCCATTCAAGGCCTTGGAATACCCTCTCTCTCCATACAGGGCCAAGGGAATACCTCTTCCCTACATTTTGGTCAAGGGAATACTCCTCCCTCCATCCAGGGTCCAGGGAATACCCCACCCACAATACCGGGTCCCAAAGAATGCTCCTCCCTCATTTTAGCCCAGGGAATACCCTATCTCTCCATCCATGGTCCAGAGAATAACTCCTCCCTCCATCCAGAGTCCCAGGGAATATCACTTCCCTCTATCCAGGGGCCAAGGAATAAGTCCTCCCAGCATCTAGGACACAGGCGATAAACACAAGGACCCTGGGCTGAATCTGGCTCTGCACCTTGTTTTTATCCAGGCTGGCACCTTATATCTACCCTCTGCAAGCAGTGAGCCCTGCCTTAAAGATTAAGGAGTAGTTACATTTATGCAGCCCTAAAATTACCTGCAGCCCTTTGAAGGCAACCTGGAAGCTGATGTGGCCCCCTGTGAAAATGAGTGCGATCCCCTTAACCTAGGGTCACACAGAAAACCCCCTCCCTGCATGGTCCCAAGGTGTGCCCACTCCCTCCATCCAGGATCTTGAGAATACCTCTTCCCTCCATTCAGGGTGGCAATGATACCCCCTGCCAGGGTCCAGGGCATATACCCTAACTCCTTAAACTGTGCAGGGTATACCTCCTCCCTTCATTCAGGATCCCACAGAAATGTCTAACCTCTGTCCAGAGCCCCAGGGTATGCCTCCTCCCTCCATCCAGAGTCCCGGAATTACCTCCTTCCTCCATCCAGGGTAGTAGGGAATACCCAGTCACTCCACTCAGATTCCCAGGGAATAGTCCACCCTTCATTCAGGGCCCAGGGAATACCCCACCCTCCACCCAGGATCCATGGAATACCTCCTTCCATACAGGGTCCCACCCATGGAGATCCCTCCCTCCATCCATGGAGATCCCATTCTGCACACAATGGGACATGGGTGAGTGAAGAGACTCCTGCACACTTATTTTAAAATGAAAACGGGGACGGTTTTGCATACACAAACCAAGGAAACACCTTTAATTATTTAGCAACCAATAACTTTAGGAAGTAATGAAAGCACTCGAACATAAAAACTTAACTGAACATTTCGTAGGGCAATATGGCAATAGACACGCTCTGCATGGTGACCAGGGCAGGTCACACCCGCGGCTATTGGGCAGGCAGTCCTTGCTCAGTTCTTAGTGTTGCCCAGAGTGAGCTTGTCGAAGAGGTACTCTGCCAGGCTCTCTTCCGGGGCCCACAGCTTGCGCAGGTTGGTGACGCGGTCCCCCAACTCTTGGATGAACACCACTTGCTCATGGAAGTAGTCACGCTCCAGGAAGTTGCAGACGCGGCCATGCTTCTCTTTGGACATATGGTGCAGACCCAGCAGGCTCTGGTGCACTTTCTTCGCCAGCTGCAAGGCGCATTCCAGGACCCTCAGGCCATTCTCCCAGTTCTCTTCCTCAGGTCTGGGCATGTTCCACAGGAAGGGGTTGCCGGCACTCCGGTTCTGCAGCCCCAACAGATACTCCGCGTGCTCCCTCTCCTTGTTCGACTGCTGAAGGAAGAACAGGCTGAAGTGCTTCAAGGCCACGTCTCCACGGTTGAAGTAGGAGGCCATGGACATGTACATGTAGGAGGCGTGCAGCTCCAAGGCGATCTGGTTGTTGATGGCGGCCTCATACTCGGAATTGTAGTTCTGACCCAGGTGCCAGGGTGCAAAAGCATTCGCCATGTCTGGTAGCGCAGTTGCGAGGTGGGGGCAGCTACGTGAAGAAGTGGCGGAAGCCGGAGCTGGAGTTGCTGGAGACCTGGGTGTGCCCTGGGTGAGTCAGCAACACCGCCGGTGGGTGGTGCTCCAGTGGTCTGCAGCAGGCGACTGGTGGTTGGCTCTGAGATGGAACCGGAAAAGGAAAGGTGGGACCTGAAGACTGAAAAGGTGACGAATTCTCGCGAGTGTTCTGGAGAAGGCGCGAAGAGGATCCCTGGGAAGGGGAGTGGCAAAGCGGGGTGCGGTGGGAGGGGTTGTCAAAGTGGGCAGTGCACAGGAGTCCTGTTCCTGGTTGCATCACAGCCTGGGTGAGGCGAGGAAAATCTGTTCTGACCTCTTAGCATTTAATGTTTTCAATTTTTCAATAATATGTCCATGTTGCAAGGACTTTGTCCTCTAATTCCTTCTATAGGAGACATTTTTATTGTATAGATCCATTTTCTTCCCTTGAAGTTCTGAGAATATGAATTTGAATTTTTGGTAAAATTCTCTTGTGTTTCCTGTATTATATGTGGGTTCCCCCTGCCCGGAAATAGTTCTGTGCATTCATTGTCTTTTTTTCTTTTATCTTCCTCATACATTTGGCAAATCTGTGTTCTTGTACAGTTAGGAATAAAGGACTTATTTGATCAACTGAGATAATTAGCATGGATCTCATCCGCAGTTGTGATGTGCATTTCCCTACAGGGCGTCTGCTGCAATAGAAGCCTGGAGTGTGCTGAGCTACTCAGGGGGTGTTCCTTTGAGCATACATGGCATGGCTTATGGGTAGGAAAGGGACACTCCTTTTGGCAAAAATAAATACAATATTTCTGACATTGGGAGACTAATACTTTTTTTCTTTTAGGTAGATATGTCCTATTGTGTCCCTTTTCTGCATGTCTGCATTGTGTTAAGCTCATTGACTGTCTTAGGAGTGTACTTTGGGGAGATTAAAGGTGTCAGATGCCACAGTTGTATAAAATTCACCTGTGAAGCCATCCAGTCCAGGGCTATTGTTTGTTGGGAGGTATTTTTTTTTCTTAATGACTGGTTTGATTTCCTCAGTTGTAAGTCATGTGTTCAAATTTCCAGTTTCTTCTTCATTTGGCTTTAGAAGATTGTATGTTTCTCAGAATTTATTCAATTCTTCCAGATTGTCTCATTTGGTGGCATATACTTGTTCATGATAGATCTCTTTGCTACCTACACACCTTAAACACATATTATTATGTCAGTGTCATAGTACTAGTGGGTAGGTGATCAGTGCCCACTATGGGTAAATAATACCTACTGTGCATGAATGAGTCAGCATAGCAGGACTGGCACCACTGTCTTTAGAAAGGCCCCCAAGAAGGTTCCACTTGGGCATGGTGTCTGGGAACTTTGATTAGGGAAGTGTTCCCACCTTTTCTAATTGCTAAGCAAGTCCTTGTGCCTAGAGTAGGTAAACAATATAATTTACACTGAACACATGGTTTTTTGCTGTGTGTATGAAGTCTTGATACTTGCTAGGCCAAGATTGCCTACATACCCAGTCCCTGATACAAACCTGGAACACTGGGTCTACAATGACCTCAGAGTTATCTACAAGATGGTTCCACTTGGATGTCCAATTGGCATCTCAGGTTTTCCATAATATGGCAGACCTACACCTGGAGAAAAATCTTCAAATTAATAAACAGTGCTAGAATCAACCCAGGTATTCAATTCTAATCACCAGTACCCAGATTATTTTCCTGGTCCCTCACTCTTCACCTCTGGCCCATAAGCTGAACTTATCAGCTCATCCAGTCCCTGTGGAATTTGCCCACCTCTCTTCATTTTCTCAGTCACCACCAGAGTTCAACCCCCAGTGCCTTTCACCTGGATCAGCCACAAGATCTCCTAACTGGCCTCCCAGCTTCAGCTCTCCCCCTCCCCCTACATTCTTGAAAGCACTGAGTCACTGATAACGTGCAGGGGAATGTGTGCTACTTCATATTCAATACCAGGAATTTGACTTTCAGCCTTGATCTTGTACTTCTCCATCCTGTGGATATAATTTCATGTTTGGCGTATCATGTTGACGTAGTGAAAGAAAGAGGACAACTGAAGCAAAAAGCTATATTTGGAAGTTTTGTAAGGGTACAAGGCATGACGAGCATGGGGACCTTGGGAAGACACTCCCATGTACCTCAGAAAGCCAGCCTAAGGCTCGGCTATCATTGCAGTTGCTCAGTGAGAGCTTGTGGAAGTGGTAGTCTACAGGGAACAGATCTGTGTGGCGTGGGGAATGTAGCCCAGCCCCTGAATGAAAAAATCCAGTAGGGAGCGAGTCCGCACACAAGACCCAGGCCCACGGATAGGTTCTCCCATGGGGAATCAGGCCTGCATTGTACCTAGGCTGCTATGAGTCTTCTTTTGCTAAAACTGCCTCAGCCTGGATTGAGGCAGCAAATGTTTACTGCATACCTTTAAAGTAATTTACTAAAGGCTATTGTAAACCTCCCAAGTGTGGAGTATAGCCAGTTTAACCACTTTTTCCCTTGGTCTCCCACATCCTTCTCTGTGAAGTAGTTAGCAACATTCTTTCCTTTGTTATCTGTAAAAGGCAGTCATCTACTTAGAACCTGTACATAGTAAATCAGGACCATCCTGGATGTCATATACCCAGAAAAGCAAGAAAAGCCTGTCCAGGCAGGGCTCGGGTCTTCTCTATCACTCAGAGAGCTGCCACGCTGTCCCTTTTTCTCCACAGGACTTCTGTAGTCCCAGTGAATGTGTTCCTCACAGCCACAGCACAGGGACCCCGCGGGCCCAGGTCTCCATCAGGACTTCATCAAGATTGCTTCTGGGGTCTTCATCTTGCTGCACAGGTGCTGTTAAGAAACATTAACATTTGCATACTATAGTGAACTACAAACATTAAACTAAAATATAAGAAACCTCTAATTCTTGCCCAATCTCACTCTCTCTGTTTTTTTCTCCAGTGGCAAGCACAGCAATAACTTTAATGCCAGGCTTTGTATTTTGAGCATGGACATGCATCTGTTTTCACCAGGGCATCAGACCATCCACCTGACTGCCCCCTGCCATATGCCACATGGTTCCTAAGGAGAAGATAAAGTCTACATTTTCCAGGGTCCCATGGAAAACTCTTTCACTCCATCCAGAGTCCAGGGAATACGTGCCCTGTCCATTCTGTGGCCAGGGAATACATACTCCCTCCATTCAGGACCAGTATATACACCTGCCTTCCATGTGTAGTCCAGAGAGTACCTCTGCCCTCCATCCAGAGACTGTGAATAATGCCTCTGTGCATTCAGGGCCCTGGAAATACAACCTCCCTCCATCCAGGTTCCATATAGTATGCCCTCCCTCCATCCAGGGTCCCACAAAATGGCCTCACCCTCCTATAGGGTCAAGGGTGTATGCCCTTCCTCCATCCAGGTTCCAGGGACAGCCCTCTCCCACCTGCTATTTTCCCTAGGCTCTCTCCTAGAGCCTATAACCCCACCCTCATTGCAATGTGCAGGGAATTACCCTTCCATTCATGCCAGGGCCAGGAAATGAAAGCTCCCTGAATCCAGGGTCAATAGAATAGTCCCATCCTGCTCTAAGTTTCAGGAAATACCACTCCCTCCATCCAGCGCCCAGGGAATACCTCCTCCTCAGTTTAGGGCCAAGAAGATACCATCTCCCTCCTTTCAGGGTCCAGAGAATATTCCACCCACAAGACTGGGTCCCACGGAATGCTCCTCCCCCATCCAGGGCCCAGGGAATACCTCTCCCCTCCAGTTTAAGGCCATGAAATACCCTCTGTCTCCATCCAGGGCCCAAGGAATACCTCCTGCCTCAATCCAGCACCCCAAAAATAACTTCTTGCTCCATCCAGGGTCCAGGGAATACCACCTCCCTCTGCCCAGTGTACAGGGAATACCTTCTCCCTCCATGCAGTATCCCAGGCAATCCCCTCCCTATATCCAGGGTCCAGGTAATGGCCTTTCCCTCCACCCAGGGTCCACAAAATACATCCATCTTCCATTCAGGGCCCAGGGAATACTCTCACCCTCCATCGGGGGTCCCAGGATACCCCCTGGCTCCAGCCATTATTCCTCAGAAGACCCCACCCTCCTCCAGGGATCAGAGAATACCTCCTCCCTCCATCCAGGGTCCCACGGAATGTCACACCCTCACCCAATGTTTATCCCTCTATTCCATTAAGATCCAGGGTACAGCGCCTCCCTCCCTCCTGGTTCCTAGGGTATGCCCCCTGCATCCATGGTCCAGATTATACATTGTCCTTCCATTCATGGTCTAGAAAATACGACCTCCCGCCACCCAGGGTCCAGGTAATATTCCCTCACTCCACCCTGGGAACCACGGGATGCTCCTCCTTCATCCAGTGTCTCACAGAATAGTCCCAACCTCCTCCAGGGTTCAGGGATACCACCTCACTACATCCACAATCCCAGGATAACTCTTCCCTCCATCCAAGGCCCAGGGAATACCTCCTCCCTCAATCTACGGCCAAGAAAATACAATGTCCCCCCATCCAGGGTCCAGGGAATACTCCACCCACAAGACTGGGTCCCATGGAAGGATCCTCCCTCCATCCCTGGTCCCAGGAATAGCCCTTCCCTCCATCCAGGGTCCACAAAACAGCTCCCTCCATTCAAGGCCCAGGAAATACTCTGTCCTACAATCCAGGGTCCCAGGACACCGCCTCTGTCTATATAGTGTCCCACAGAATAGCCCCCACCCTCCTCTAGGGGGTCAGTGAATACCCACTCCCTCCTCCCAGGTTCCTGGGAATAACTCCTCTCTCCATCCATCCTCCCAGGGATACCCCCTCCCTTCATCCTCCATCCCTCAGAACACCTGTTCCCTCTATCCAGGTTCCCAAAGAAGTTTTGCACCCTGTATCCATGGTCCCAGAGAATATGCCCTCCCATCCACAGTAATCCTGATCTACCAGTGATGGGGGTGTGTTTTTGAAAGAG